CCCATCCCTGGAAACATTCAAGCTCAGGTTGGACAGGGCTCTGAGCAACCTGCTCTGGTTGAAGATATACCTGTCACTGCAGTGGGTTGTTGGACTAGATGAACTTTAAAGGTCCCTTCCAACCCAAACCAGTCTGGGATTCTATTTTTTTTTTTTTAAATATGAAATGAAAACACTGTAGCTAACCTCTAATAACAGCAGCCATCAATGATGCACCCCGAGCAGAAAATGAGTTAGTTATTCCCCAAAGTCCCCAGGAGAGCAACACGACCAGATCACGCTCCCCAAACACCTGAACTGTGGAAATAAGCCCAGTGTACGCACGGTTCACGTTCTCAGAAGGCTGCATGAATAAACACACAGATTTGTCCCAGTCTTCTGCTCCCAGGTTAATTCGCCTTTTGCAAATCAGTCCTAGAAATTGATCTGATCTTTCCATGGAACTTAAATGCTTCTCAGTTTAACTTTACTCATTACTGTAATACTTAGAAATGGATCCAGGCAGTGTTTCTTGTAACACTGGCAATTCCCATCTGAATTACCCCCAAGGATTTTCTTTAAAACGTTTCTTCTCAACCGTGCAACCTCTGACCTTGGCCCAATACACGGAAAAATGAACTATGTCTAGTACGTGCATTATTCTGGGAATGCCTATCTGTGTTCATTTACCAAGTCATGCTTAGTCTCTAATAGTTCTGCAAAAACTGCAAATTAAAGCATGAGTTCACAATTTTCTTTATATATGTTCACTCAGAAAAAAAAATTTACAAATAACAGTAAGTAGGAAATAATACACTATAGGATGCAAATAGGTTGTCTCAGTTTCATTTGTCTAACTTGAAAAGTCAACTTTGACAATTAAAACGTGATTTTGAAGTCATATCCCACAAATATCTAGCACTATCTAGAATTACTGGACATCATTCACTGAAAAAAAAAAAAAAAGTGAAAGTATTCCACATTTCTAATGAGGAAATAAAAGTAATTTTTAAACATGGTGGTTCACATGTTTTACTTCAATAAAGAGTCACTTGATCCATTCCCAGAATACACTCCACACTTTGGCATAAATACAAAACTGAGCAACAAATCTGTGCCACTGTAACATTTTCCTTTTCATGTTATGAGCAACTACCACAAAACATACAGTCCACTCTGGTCCTTTGATCACGTTAGGAGACGAGATCCAGCAGCAAGTACGCATGAAGTGTGTAAAAAATGAATAAAATAAACAGGATACAAAGCTGAAGGAAGAATCAAAAAAATCAAGGCACATGTCAAATCTGAAAATGAGAAACTGCCATTTTCTATACTATCATCCCTCACTGCAAGAATGGTCACTGTAATTGAGAAGCAGCATGCAAACTGCCCTTAGACAAGTACTCACAAGAGAGCAGCAGCAACTCGGCGAGCAGCAGCAGCAGCAACTAAACATTCTTTCCTTCATCCTTCCCCAGCTTTCCACCAGCAACACAGAATACTATTCGACTCGTAAGGCCCAGGCAACTAACAAAGGCTTGTTATTATTACACAGAGGAACTTTTCTGCTACCTAAGACCACATACCACAGAGCTCAAAGGGAAATCCTCAGAAGTAAACCTACAGTGTTCTGTTACAGCTGTTTGGGAAGATGTGGGGAGCGGAGGGCTGCTCAGCAGCTTCAGCAGGCAGGAGAACATAAATCCTCTCAAGAGGACAACGTTCTCTCCACATCACCACTGTAAATCCCAGCGCTAGCAGGACAGCTCACTCTGCATCACAAAGCAAAAGTAAAGAACATCCATCTTCCCACTTCCAGTCCCAGGCTTTGTGATCTCTCAAAGAGCCTTCTTTCCCTTCTCACCCTGCGGAAACACTTCAGTGTCATTCCGGCCTCACAAACGTGCAAGTATATTTAGAAACTATAAGAAAAATCAGGTTTGAAAAATAGCTCTATGCTCCACTTTATCTGAAGACCGTGCTATTACATATCAATTATCTGGATAAAAAAGGAAGAAGACACAAAAAAACTTTACATGAACAATAGCTGATATTTTAAAGAAGACCCTCTGTGTAGCCAAGAGAACTTTAAGAGTTAAGTTGAGTCAGGGCATGGCATTTCTGCCTCCTTCCTTCTCCACGGAGAGATTCAATGCATATTTAGGCTGTGTATCAAACAGACCAAAGAGCAGGGCTTTAAGAGGAGACTGTTAGACCTCCATAACATCCTATTCACTGCAGTCTGACAATCCCATTGACAGTGAAATTTGTACTTAAAACTTACTCAGCACAATACAGGTTCATTGCCTCTTTTTGACCTCCTCTGACATGGAAACAGCTACAGCATTGTCGAACCAAAGATGCTTCGATGAACTCAAGAAAAATGCTTTAACGTGCCCCGCCAGAGAGATATTTCATAACTTCCTAAGCCATACTCTGTAGTCAGCAGAGAAATGAAATATTTACTCCAACCTGACATCAATAATAAGATTAAGAAACATTAAAAACAAAGAAAATCATCAGACCTCTAACATAAAGGTCCATTCTATTTTCCTTCCTTCCTTGTAACCAGCAAAGCAGGAATTCAATTCTGAATTAATCGTTTTGACAAAGCAAAACAACTTTTTGGTTCCTCTACCATCACAGAGAGAGACAGAAACACAGAGAGAAGCAAAAAACTAAAGCGAGACAACAAAACTACAGACCCACATGAGTCAATACTTCAAACGGTGGCATTTTCAGAAACAGAAAAGGGGAGGAAAAAAATTAATGCTAAAACAAAACTGACAACTTTAAATTTTCAAGCTAGGAATCAAGATCAAGTTTTATGTCCAAAAAGAGCTGTATTT